CGCACCCCCGCCTCCCCGCTCTCCGGCCGCGACGCCCTGGGCCGCCCGGGTCAAATAAGCTCAGGCCTGAACTTGAATAACGAAAGGGAATTAAGGGCTGATGGTGCGCATGCGAAGCTTAGCTGCCCAGGGAGTCCCCTGTCCTCCCTGGGACTGTCAGTTGTGGGTCGGGCTCAGAAACCTGCCGGATTCCTGGGCTTCAGGGACCAACGGGGCAGAAACGTAGGCCCCTCAGGCCCAGTCGCAATCCGAGGCAGCCCAGCAACCTGTCCACCTTCCTGGCCTGCGCCTCGGCCCAGCCTGCCCATTTCCCAGGTCTCTTCGACTCCTACACCTTGAACCTCTGGCCTCCCTAACACCTTCTACCTTCACGGGAGGTTGTGATACCTTGGGGCTATAGGGAGCCTTTGGCCGGCCCATACCCAGCTTAGCCCCGACTCCTCACTTCATCCTGCCGCCTCCCAATAAAGAAGAGAGTCCAGGTCCTCCGCCCTGTGACTACCCAGCCGGGACCTCCCTCTTATTACTTTGTCCAAATGACTCTAAGAGAGAAGCCACCACCTGCAGGGAAGCCCCTCCTTCCGCAAGATCCCACCCCCTCAAAGAACGCTTTCTCTCGGAGACACCTCCCTTTCGGGGGCACTTTTCCCCAGTGTGGCACTGCCACCGTCAGTGTGTGTCAGAACCCCTCAGTGCTGCACCCCCTTGCTCTGTGTTCCTCCCACGCAGTGAGACCCCACCTCCGAGTGACTCCACTAAGTCATTGTGACCCCTCCTCTCAAGGTGACTCCTCCCCTCAGTGTGACCCAGCCCTCCTCAGTGTGAGGGTTCCGCCCTCCACGTAGGAACACGGTCTGTCCCCTCAGGCCAGAGGAGGGGCTGCAACTGGCCTCTTTAAGTCGGCGCGGTGCCCGGGTGCGCACGCAGTCTGCGGACTCTGTGCACTTGCCGTACCAGACACTTCCGGTTCTGCCGCTGGCTCCGCCTCCGGCCTCGGCAAAATAGCCAATCATCGCCAGGGTTGGGTGGTGACACGCGATCCCGGCGGGCCACTCCGGGGCAAACGGTTTAAATGGGCGTCGTTGAGCCGCCTGCCCCCTAGCGGCGGAACGGTGGGCGGGGGAAGTGAAAGCTGCGGTACCGGGTGCGGAGGCCGGCTGAGAGAGCTGAGGAAGCGAGGCTGCGTCCGTCAGGAATTCTCAAGTACTGTATTAATATTTCTGTAGTAACCTTAAAAGAAAATTAATACAAGCACAGTCCGTATCGCGTGGGGTTACCGTCTTCCAATGGAGTCTGGTTACACGTTTATGAGAGTTGGAGCCAAGAAGTACTACTCACTTGTCGAGGGCTACTGAGAAAAGAATAAAGACGGTCATAAATGATACATGATGCCTTAGAGTCAAGAGAAGGGCAGATGCTGTCTTGGTGCGCCGTACAAGGGAAGGTATTGCACAAGTTTGGAGCGAGAGGAAGGGAGACGTTCGCAATCCTTCCACAGCCGGTGGAGGCAGGCCAGCCTCAGAATTGCCCAGGGCACAGGCATCCTGTTCTTTTTTCTGGAGGCGTTTGGTCTCAGCACACGCTCATTCATCATATTTAATGCTAACATCTACAACTATTTGTGAATTTGCTTTCTATTGTTGTATGACATCTGTAAACACTAGGAATTTATGCCTCATTTTGTTTAAGTAATATCATAGATCTTTTAACCGATATTGGGTTCTGGCCCTTTATCATGTTTGAGAATTCCTGTAATAGTAATGGTAATTCCAAGCCAAAGAGCCAGATGCCTATTTTGGAAAGATGATTGCGGTGGTTGTATGGAGGCAGGGAGACTGATTAGGAAGGAGGCTGTGACTGTGGTTCAATCAGGAGAGGATGAGACCAGCCTGGCCAACACTGATTAGGAAGGAGGCTGTGTCTATTGTTCAATCAGGAGAAGATGAGACCAGCCTGGCCAACATAGTGAAACCCCGTCTCTACTAAAAATACAAAAAAATTAGCGTGACGAGGTGGCGGGCACCTGTAATCCCAGCTACTTGGGAGTCTGAGGCAGGTGAATCGCCTAAACCCGGGAGGCGGAGATTGCAGTGAGCCAAGATCGCGCCATTACACTCCAGTCTAGGAGACAAGAGCGGGACTCTGTCTCAAAAAAAACCTTTTGTTGTTGTTTTTCAGACTTTTTATGATGGAAAATGTCTTAACACATACACGCAGAATAGAATAATGAATGTTTATTTACGTTGGATTAGTAAGACCATTTTGTTGGAAACCCATAGTGCAAAATTGGTTTGCCTTTGCCTCAGTTGTACTGTTTTCATATTTGACCTGGCCTAGGTGAAAGTACCGCTTTCATTTACCCTTCTATACCAGTGATTCTCCAATGAGCAATTCATGGCCAATCTTGTTTCATCTATACCTGTGCCCTCTTCCTCACTCCATATTTGTGTATATTTCTGACATATCATTTCATCCTGTAAACTTTTCAGTATGTTATCTCTAAATGATAAGGATTCGTCTTTAAAACCAAATCACAGTATTGTCACACCAAAAAATAACGATAGTTTCTTCATATCATCAAGCATCCAGTTGTTCACATTTCCCCCACTGTCTTACGTTTGATTTTTAAAAATTGTTTATTTGAATCAAAATCTAAATTAGGCCTGTACTTTACAGGTGATATGTCTGTCTGTCTCTCTTTTTTTTTTTTTTGTGAGACAGGGTCTGGCTCTATCACCCAGGATGGAGTGCAGTGGGTTGATCTTGGCTCACAGCAACCTCCACTTCCGAGGCTCAAGCAATCCTTCTGTCTCAGCCTTCTGAGTAGCTGGGACTACAGGTGGGCACCACCACACCTGTCTAATTTTTGTATTTTTGTAGAGATGGAGTTTGCCACGTTGCCCAGGCTAGTCTCAACTCCTGGGCTCAAGCATTCCATCTGCCTTGGCCTCCCAAATTGCTGGGATTATAGGTGTGAGCCACCACACCCAGCCATGTTTCTTAAGTCTTTGCAGATCTATGCTTATTCTCCATCTTTTTTTCTATTTGTTTTAAACTAGTTCATTTGTCCTGTAGGGTTTCTTAGAGTCTTGATTTCTGTTGTAATTTAGCATGTTCCTCCATCCTCTGTATTTGATATAAATTGGTAACTTAATCAAATTTAGATTTATTTTGGCAAAACTAATTTGTAGGTGGTTTTAGCACTTCTATCTGGAGGTATACAATGGTGGTCTTTTTGTGATGTTAATAACTGATATTTGTTTCTCAACCGTGGCACTATTGATATTTTGGACTGGAAAATTCTTTATTGTAGGGGGCTGTCCTGTGCATTTTAGGATGTTTAGCAGCATCCCTGGCCTCTACCTAATGGATGCCAGTGGCACCTCCTCCCAACTATAACAATAGAAAAATGTGTCTAGACATTGCTAGTTGTCCTCTGGGGGACAAAATTGACCCTGATTAAGAACCACTGGTTTAGGTTCATTAATAGAGGAGTTAAAGCTGGGCATAGTGGCACATGACTGTAGTCCCAACTACTTGGGAAGTTGAGCCAAGAGGGTTACTTGAGCCCAGGAGTTCGAGTCCATCCTGAGCATCATAGCAAGACCCTGTCTCAAATAAAAAGTTAGAAAATAATATTATCATTCCTTCTTTGAATGAATTCCTATAGAAGTATTAGGTAGAATACTTCTATAAGGAGAAACTTTTCCACATTAACTATTTGTTACACAGAGATACATTTCCTAGGAAAGGCAGAATAAATACTTGTTTCTCACTTATTTTACCAGCTTTCAAAGTAATGAGTTGGTTCCCCAGCATCTTCCAAAGTTGACCAGTGAGGTTTTTCTTAAGTACCATTATGAACTCATAATTTAACGCATATATGATGTACTCAATTATTGCTAATTATCTTTTATTTCTTTTTGAGACAGGGTCTCTTTTCAGGCTGGAGTGCAGCGGCACAAAGCTCACTGCAACCTTGACCTCCTGGGCTCAAGTGATTCTCCATCTCATCCTCCCAAGTAACTAGGACTATAAGCATGTGCCATCACAGCAGGCTAATTTTTAATTTTTTTGTAGAGACACGGTCTCACCATGTTGCCCAGGCTGGTCTCAAACTCCTGGCCTCAAGTGATCCTCCTGCCTTGGCCTCCCAAGGTGCTGGGATTACAGACATGAGCAACTGCACCCAGCCCAGTTATTTATTTATTTATTTATTTATTTATTTAGATGGAGTCTTGCTCTGTCACCCAGGCTGGAGTGTAGTGGTGTGATCTCGGCTCACTGCAACCTCCGCTTCCCAGGTTCAAGCAATTCCCCTGCCTCAGCCTCCTCAGTAGTTGGGATTACAGACACCTGCCACCACACCCGGCT